TGAGGGGCCTTCACACTCTTCCTTGCCCTCGCAGGGCAAAGTAAGGCACTCTGTCTGAGAAAAGTTCCTGAGAACTTTTTTTTAAAAGAGCCAATTTTCTAAAGTGAAGTTAAGAAATTGGTCTCTTATCCAAGTCCTGCCAATGTGAACCTTTAGTAAGTGTATTATTTCAAGGCCTCAGTTTCCCCATCCGCCAATTGAAGGGGTTGAACCAGATGATGGTCAAGGTCATAGAGCAAGCTGGAGGCGCAAGGGAGTTGGTGCACAGGGAGTGTGCGGAGCGCCCCGGAGACCCTGGGATCGCTCCCCTGCGCGGCCTGGCCCGCAGGTGCTGGCCGTTCAGGCGTCCAGCGAAGGCCGAAACCTCCCCAGCTCTCGCGCCCAGGGCCTCCGGGCACCAGAGCTCTGCGGCCGCAAAAAGTAGCCACAGTTCTGGGGGCGCTCTCTGGAGAAGTCCAGCTCCCCACACCCCAGGCCTCCAAGTCCCTCGGGCGCTCTCTTCTCGGTCTCGTGCTTCTGAAGTGTTTGAAAAATAACTTTTGGGGAGGAAAAGGGGGCGGGTTCGGGTTTCCTTCTAAATTCCTAACTCAAGTGCCAGGGAGGACGTCCCCGCAGGCGCAGCCTTGGGACCGAGAGCGGTAGTTCCGCTGCTCCGCGTGCCGCCAGTTAGGAAAGCTTGTTCGAGTGGCCTTCCTTTCCTCTTTTTTCCCCCCTTTATTTTTCAGACCCGGTTTTTTGTGCTGGAGGTGATGGAGAGTGGGGGAAGGTGTGGAAGTCTGCACGTGCGTGGGCGTTTCGGCGATGTTCCTGGAGAGCCGGGTCTCATAGCCGGTTTGGGGGGTGTGTGCACCAGACTCAAAGATTTATTTACCTGAACCCTAAGTCGAAAACCGAGTCGCGACAGTAGGCACCCGGCAAAAGACGGCGTCAAAGGCAGCTGCTCAGTCTTCAGGGCTGGGCCCAGAGCCCGCACCCCTCCTCCCCTGCGCCATCATCCCCTCTTCTGGGTCCCGTCAAGGCCGAGCTCCAGGCCTCGGCCTCGCAAGCCAGTGCCTCTGAGCCTGCGACGTGGAGGGCTTGCTTGCCCCGGGGACAGAGGCGGGACACAACAGCGAGGTGCTCTGGGCATGCCTAGGGTGGGCAGGGGCCTGTCTTCTTCAATAACCCTCCTTTTAGCGCGTCTTCCCCTCTTCTCCATGTAACTTCTCAGTAATAGCCATGAAGACGAATCACGATGCTCCTTCCCCTTCTTTCTCAAATTAGACGGGGGGGGGAGAGAGAGAGAGAGAGAGAGAGAGAGAGAGAGAGAGAGAGAGAATGGGAATATACGTACCCAACTCTACTACCATTCGGTTCCGGAGAAATTCTCAAATAGAGCAGTGTAATTTCTCAGTTGATTTTGATTGACATACTGTCCCTGGGATCATGTGTTAATCCCTTCTTCACTCAAGCCTTTTCATAACTCATTTCTCTCTTGCTAGATGGGGACTCAGATGGTTACCGCGGCAACGATGATAGCACTAAGCTATTTCCCTCTCTGCAAGGAGACCATTATTCCGCATGCATAGGCCATTTGCAGCAGAGGTCGTCACAAAGTCATTCACAACACAGCACACGTTTATTAAACTTTTATTCTCTTTTTCCCCCAACACAGAAACTAGTTTGCAGTTGTACCAGGGGGTGCCATTGTCCTGCTCTGTGTGGCAGTGACTGCGCCGGATGGCGTGGGCCCCCCGCGCACACTCCCTTACACACCGGCACGCAGCCAGCCGGCAGGGGCCAGGGGTCTCTCCACTTGCGCATCTGCCCTTGGGATCTTCTCAGACCCCACCTCTGTGACCCCGAGGATGAGAAGAAGCAGCGACAGCATCTAAGTGTAGACTGGAACAGGCTTCTCAGGCCGTTCCGCCCTCCGGAGCAGCCTCGGCCAACTGAGGCTCCTTCTCTGCGTTCCTTCCCGTACACACAGCTGCCTTTTGTGCCCTTTCTCGAAGTCTTCCCTTCGAGAAAGGGCAACGTTCCTTCTCTCCTCCGTCCCTTCTCCCAGGGCTCTGCGCCCCCGCGGAGGCCCCTCCCGGGGTCCAGCGGGCGCCGCCCGGTCGCGCTGGCGGCCCTGGTTCCGGAGGAGCCACCTGACGGGAGCGCGTGGGTCTTAGGTTTCTTTTCTCGGTTTGGCCAGTGAAAGGGCCTGTTGGCGGTGCCAGTCCCTGGCCCGGCCGCCTGCACGTCGGGGCGCTCGGAATCGAGAGGGTTTGGTCTCCGGTCTTCTGTCTGCTGCAGCCTGGGCTGGGGGCTGGTGGGTGGGGAGTCTGGGCAGTCAGTCAAGGTCAGATCCACCAGTCTACCTTAAAGCCAACGGGGCAAACATTTGTATTCGCGACACACAGGGGCCGCCAGAACCAAACGGCAGTTAGGAAGGCTTTGAGGGCCACGGCTCCGTTTCTCTCCCTCTTCTCCCAATTCCTCCCTCCCGGCATCCTTCCTGAGTCTCCTTCTTTTCTTTTGCTTTCACCCCTCCCAGTCTTTGTTATGGGAGTGATGGACTCACTGGGGCTCTAGGGCCCTCTAGATCTTGCCAGGCCTCCGTGAACTTGACCAGGGAAGACTGGAGCCGAACCTGCCCCAGCCCAGGCCCCAGGGACTGCACAGGCGGCCCCTGCGGCCGGAGCGCCAGGCTACTGCACTCGCGGTGATGCGCCTGCCACACCCACAGACGGGCGCGCCCTAGAGGAGCGCTCCCCGGGCCGCCCCAGCGAGGTCGGTGGCAGTCACCCACCAGCCAGAAACAGGCCACGAAGCTGGCTCATGCTCCGCAGACACGGGCAGGGAATGTCCCACGGGCGGGCTGTGGGTTGGGAGCTGGGCTCCACCATCCGGCAGGTGCAATGTGCCCTAAGGGCCTCTGAGGGTCATTCCGGGCCCTTCGGAAGTCCGGGATTGCCCGACTGCCTCTCGCGACCCCGCAGGCCGCATTGTGGTCCAGAGGGGATGCCGTTTGCAGGGTGACATCCCCGGAAACCGCCCCGTCCTATCCCTAGAGCGCCTGGGATGGTCTGTTCAACCAGAGGGTGTAGCATCGCCTGCCCCTTCGGGAATGCCCTGGCTAGAGCCGGGGTGCAGGCTCCAGAAAAGCTGGCGTGGTGGGTCCCCGGGCTCTCTAACAGGATCCCCACCCAGGTGCAGCGGGGACTCTAGTGCAAGGGAGGTCCTGGGGAGAAAGGAAGGAGCGCCTGCCCCAGGCAGTCAGCCGCCTTTTTCTGGGTCTCTCCTGCCCACAACTACAAATGTCAGGGAAGAAAATAATCTAGAGAAAGGAACCTCAGACCAGCTCGCCTTTCTGCAAGGCCTTCCCAAGGGTGCTCTTGCTGGCATCTACAGCCCTGGCTGCGAGAGCTGAGAGGGGTCATGGGCAAGGGGTGGGCTGCGGTGGCCTGAGCAGAGGTTACTAGAAGTGGGGTGTGTGCGGGAAGCTGACCCAGCTTTTTAAAAGGAGACTCCAGGTGCCTAGGGGTAGAGGTCCAGGGCTGGGGGAGGGGCTGGGAGGAAGCAGGCTGAGTTCCCGTTGGGCCTCTGCCCCACAGGGTTCACAGGGTCACAGCAAGGTCATATTGGACTCTGCTGGTGGGGAGGGTGATGGAGACCTGGGTCTCTGAGTGCCGCAGCCTGGCGTTTGAGGGGGTTTTAGGGGAGGGCCACAGATCTGTGGGGGTGTTAGAGGTGTGCCCGTATGTGCTGTCGAGCTGGAGACTAGCTTAAAGGTAAGCGGAGGTGACAATGGTTAAGGGAGTGCTCTCGTGGCCAAGGGAGTATCTTTACTGGGGGCAGGTCAGCCTTAGGTCTGCTAAATCCGCAGTGTGTTTTAAGGCCCCACAGGTAACCTGACTCATCGCCCCACTTAGTTTTTTGAGGGGAAACCAAACTGATGAAAATTCTGTTCTAGGAAAAAGTCTGAACAGATGACTGGAAGCTTGGGCACTTGCGCCAAAGGCCAGAACAATGTTATTAAATAACTACAGTAAGCACATCCATCATAAAAACAGAGGTTACCAGGTAGTGCTCATTAAGTACTCAGAACAGCCTGTAAGATAGGTTGATCCCTTTTTAACAGGGACCCAGTCAGTCCGAAGGGAACCCTGGTGTGCCTCTCACCGCGGCTCTGTGGGCCTCCTGCTTTCCTTCCAGGGGACCTCAGGGTACATTGAGGAGCAGCAATAGAGGGATGAGCACTTACATTCATCCATCATCCCCTTCCTCCTTTGACACCCTGTCCCCCAGTGGGCACCCTGCTGAGCTCTAAGACTGAGAAGTAGGAAACTTTATCTGCCCATAGGTGGAATGGGGAGAAAGACAGGAAATGAATCATCATACATACACCAACTACTCTATTAAAAGCATGGCAACGATGGTGGGTGAGCCCAGAGGACAGAATGACTGGGATGGCCTCCATCGGGGAGGTCAAGGGCTCGAGGAGCGGAGCTAGGGCAAAGGGAGTTCCAGGAAGGAGCAGGTAAGTTCAGTGGCACAGCGCCGGAGAAGGGGCCTGGAGAGTCCCATGAACCATGAGAAATGTGGTGGACCCGGGGTGGCGAGAAGGGAGAGAGGTTGAGACAGGACACGTGATAGAGTGTGGCCTTGGAAGTCGAGCTCAGTGGCTTGATCCTGTGGGCGGTGGGGAACCAGGATGGCCTTTAAAGAGAGGGGCAGTGGGGATTACACAAGCAGGATGCCATTCTGGTAACTAGCTCCCCTTTCCCTCAGCCACACACCCAGAAATAAGGTGTTTGCCTCATACTTCCAGCTGCGTAAAGTAAATGGGTAATCACATTCTATATTTTTTGCTGTTGATTTTGCTTTTGATTTTTGCAAAATGCTTAGGCAAAGACAACACCAAGGCTCATGTTTCTTCATGTGTTTTTTTTTTTCCATATGCTGTGTGGGACCTTGGCCTATGCAGTTGTTTGTGTTAAGAATAGCGGCCCTGGTCCTTGGCTTTGTTTCAGAAATGCAGCTTTGCCTGGACCAAAGACACTCTGACGGTTTAACTACTGCAACAGCTGAACCACAGCCCAGGAGGTGAGCAGTGACACCACCCAGAAAACCACACTGTGATGTGTCTGTGACGGAGAGAGATGAGAGGAGCTCTCTCATGAATATATGGCAGGTATCTACAAACCCTCACGCTAATTGATGGGCTCTCTATATATCATCCCAGATAAAGGGCCCCTCAGCAGTAAATGCTGATGGTTAGAACATTCTGATAGGGCTTTGTTAACAAGAAGATAACAGAAGAGCGAGATATGTTTGTTTAGCTGCCTATAGATAAACCCAATAGGTCTTTGTTAACTTTTCATGACTGATGGCAACCACTAACCATGATAAATAATCCCGAAAAAGGGAACTTTACTTAAAGTACCAGAAATGGGACCTAAATTCTTAGCTCATTTGCTTGAGGAGGAAGTGTTCTCCACATGTGGAACACACATGTGGCATGGTGTCTGCGCACCTGAGTGTCTCTAACTAATTTTAAACTATTGCCAGTCCCCTGCACCAGGCTGGCCCATCGTTCTTCCCCTGGGCACGCTATGCTTTACTCACACGAAAGCTGAGCAACTCTAAGGAGCTGGATTTCACAGGCAAGTCTTCCGAACAGAGGCAGAACATCGAGAAACTGAGGCAAACGTTTTTGCAGTGACTATAATTAGGTGAAAGTATGCCTTTCAATACTCGTAAGGAGTGTGGTGGCCAGAGACACACCTCCCTGCAACACATCGGAGGATGCAACGTCTTTTCCCAAACTCATGGCCAAAGGAGGGGGTGTTTCCAAAAGCTGAGGAATAAAGTTTTCCCACTATTTTTAAATAATGACTTGCTTACTTAGCACATCATTCTTTAGCTAGACAAAACCACGCATATTGCTAAGCCCAGAATCCGCCCAAAATGAGAGTGCCAAAGCACTTTAAGTACAGGTACAAAGAGACCAAACTTCTGTGCTATGATCATTACGGTGTTATCATGAATGCAATCTTATAAAAGAAGGCAATCATTTTTCTTAAAAACATCATTTGAATTTTATCTTTGCTGGAACACTAGCGAGGAGGGGAGCAGTTGACCTGACCATATAATCTTCTCTCACCTGCCGACTAATCAATTTTGATGGAAGAGGTGATATTGGGTCTCTGAAGTTAACCAGGTTTACCACCAGTAAATGGAGGTCCCAGGTGCAATGATGTTTCAGTTAATAAAAGTATTAAGAGAAATTAATTCTTAATGTAGAAAAGTCACTATTTGCAAAGCCTTGGGTTAAATATGTCCTAAAGTACCGGGGAAGCTTTCTTTTCTTTCTTTCTTTCTTTCTTTTTTTTTCTCCAGAGGGAAACAAATAAGAAAGAGCTATTGTCATTCAGGTCCCTTTTTTGGTCCTAAGAGAAAACAGTTGGATTCACTCTATGGGGCGGTTCAGTCCTGAAAGCATCAGATTTGATTCCCTAGACTCCTTGGAACCGCAAGTTCACATCCCAGAGGGGTTGGGCTCAACCCTTCCTCCTTCCTAGGCAATAAATAGCATGGAAACCAGGTTATCTATGTGGCCAACTTTCAGGAAAGACCTTGAAAACAGAGCTGGGGTGGACCTGGGTGATCACGTGATGCTTTCCATTACAGTGGGGGGAGGGGAGACTGCAGGGTGGCTGAACCCACTGGGGCCAGCCGGCAGGCAACTAAACGCCATGCTGATGCCAGGAGATACTTCAACTGAGTTTTTAATAGAAGTCCATTGAAAAGCCTGCGATAGACAGCTGAGGGAGCCGGCTCCGCTTACCCTTGTGTGAAGCATTGGTGGCTCCATCAGATTAGGTGGGAGAAGGGTAGGGAGTTCGGAATGTTTGCTTTCAAGTTCACTACTCGGCGACCTTTCTGCAGCGCCTCAATATCTCAGCACCATATTTTGTATTCCTGATTAGGGGGTTGGCTTAGGTACAACACGATTAATGTTTCTTTCTTTCTTTCTTTTTTCTTTTTCTTCCCTCCCCCCCCTTTTTTTTGGCTCAGAGAGCTGGTGCCCTCACCTGAGTCTAAACAATCAAGTTACTGAAATTCTAGCACACTTTTTAAACCTTGTGCCGCTTCTTTACATAAGATGCACTGTTTCCACTCGCCTTTACACACACTATTTGTCCAGTTTCTGACACTCCGCCATTTAATATGAGAAAAGCAGATTTTCTAATAAGAAAAATGAAACGATCAGACAATTCAGCGAAGACCGGCGAGTGGCTGTGTTAAGGTTTGTTTGTGTCAGTGGCAGGCTGTCATGGTACCTGCATCGTTAAAAATGATAGCCATTTCATGTGACTTTTGTGTCTATCAGCAGCATAATTGCAAAATTATACATGGATGAATGTAAATACAAAGTGTTGTGAACTGCATATAGTAATTGCATGGTATGTGTTTGTATACAAATGCTTCCGATGAGTCTATATACACAAACTTTGATATGCTTTTCAGAGACAAAGTAGGCAACTCTCAGAGGACAACATTACCCAGTTGCTTTGGAAAGGAGGTGAATAACCTCTTATGGCAGAAATACCATCTTCTGAGTTTGGTCAGGATTTCCGCTGCATTAAATTGCTGTATTGTCTGTGACTACAAACTGAGACAGGGCTTGGTTTGGGGAGGCTGGTAATTTGAAGCCCGCAAATAGGGCTTGGTACTTTGTAATCAATAAGCGGACCTTCTCTATTGTTTTTAGTGATTTGAAACAAAGTTCAGTGACAATGCTTTGTAGGTAAAAACATTTGAAAAAAATACCCAGCCATCCAAGAAATGAAGTAGATGTTCAAAGGGCTTAGATTACCTCTCGGAGGCTAGCAACCTCATGGGAGCAGTTCAAATGTCCATAGATCCAGTGTATGTATACCCTATGTTCATATTCATGGTGTAGAAATTTTCTCTCAAATCTTATACAGACCACCGACCGCTGATATTTCATATACAGGTTCAGATTCCTGGATACATCAAATATGTACTTAATGAAAAATTGTGAGTTTAAGCTGAAAACGTCAAACTCTGTCCACTTGCCTTCTTCCATGTTATTGACAATGAAGCGATAGAAATGCTTCTATGCTGTCTTACCCTTTTGTAATTAGAGACACAGACCTGAGCAGGAGGCGTCCTAAGTGCACTGTCTGCGGCAGCGGCTGGGCTTCCCGGCGGCCGCAGCCTGGGCGCCTGCTGCAGCTCGGCCTTCTGTGAGCCCGTGAGAATCTGCGCCTGCGAGGGGAGCTCGTCGGAAAAGGACGGCTCCAGTGCCAAGTTTTCATATCCTATTTTTTTTACATTAAGCCTAACCTTTCTTATTTTAAACCCAATCGACACTTTAAAAATGTGAGGGCAAGTCATTTGATTGGGTTGCGCTCACACAACACACATGGCCCTTCACCTATGGATTTGACCTCTGAACAGACAGACATTGGATAGATGTCACCTTTTAAACAGAATGTATTTATTTTTAACTTCTTAAATCTCAAACACAGAATGCTAGAGTCAAAAGAGCATAGATAGAGGTCTCATGCGACCTCTTTGTTTCAGAACCAAAGGGCTGAGCATCCGACAGAATCAAGGCACATAGTTAGTTAGGAAGTGTGCTTGTTACACCACCTTCTCACACAGTCCTTCCCGGCCATGCGGAAGGATAGGACTGCAGTGCAGTAGCAAGGAAGGCCCACTTAGGTGCATGTTCTAGATCACGCTGTGCAATGTGGCAGCTACTAGCCACCTGTGGCTCTTTAAATTTCAATTAGTTAAAATGAAATGAAATGAAAAATTCAATCTCTTAGTTGCAGTGGCCACATTTCAAGTGCTCTATTGCCCACGTGGCCGTGGCTACTGTATTGGAGGGTGAAGAATTTATATAGACCTTTTTCATCATCACAGGAAGTTCTGGCGAACAGCCTGATGAGACCTGAGATTGAGTGCAGTGACCAGAGAACACAGTGTATTGAACAGATTCCTAAAGGCTCCAGAAATGGGTCCAGAGGCACCTTCTCCACTAGGGGGTGCTCTAACAATTAGTGCATCCCACAGCTGGATGGAATTTCAAAGAGAGCTCTTTGGAAGAGCTCTCATTTTAAGCGTAAGGTGGGTTTCTTTACTTTATCTGCACTAGAGCTTGAGGCTGTTCAAGAACAGATGCATAACCATGGACCTGATGACCGTAGCTGGAACTGAACCATGGCTTATCCTCTGTGATTTACTATTCTGTCTCCTTCTCTGAGCTTGTTTAGCATAATAATTAGAAAATGCCAACGCCACCAAGTTGATTGCAATTTGAGTCACTTACAGTCCCACTGGTGGATGCACTTAGGTCTGGGACAGTGGCATAGTTCTCTCTCTCTCACTTCTGTTTACCAGAGAGACGGGCGTACACCTGAGCTGGGTGTCCACCCCGGAGAGAAGCACCGGGAGGAAGCCTCTCTGCTGGTGACCTCCTATGTCCACTGTCAAGTTATTTGATAAGAAAACTGCCTAGTTAATGTGCTGTCCAGCTTTTCAAGCCTTGATTGTGATATCAAGATTACTGTTTTGATGGGGTGTTGAGACCCAGAATCTGAGGATCACAGAAAATCCAGAATTCACAGAGCACTGAAAAATTATTGAAAGAGCAAGTTAACAAATATTGATGGATTAACTTAAATAAAGAGAAGCTACAATAGATACTGTAGCTATCATTCTTTGAGCTCTTACCGTGTGTTAAATACTTTACATGTGATTTAATTCAATTTTCACAACTATCCAAGCAGATGTTCTCATTCTCCTTTAACAGAGAAGGGAATGGAGACTTAAATGAAGTGATTTGTTCAAGTTCATTTAGAAGTTGAGCAACAACACCACCAGGATTCAAATTCAGGTTCTGACAGAAAATATAAAATTAAAAAAGAAAGAGGAAAAAAGTGTGCTTGTAGCTATTATAATGTTGCCTAGATTCCTTAACATGCAGATAAAGACCTGAATGTGGTTTGTAAAGAAAACATGTGAAGCAGAGGGTACCAATTTGGTGCACACGGCCCACCAAACACCCTGTAAGCCCTTGAACTGGGGTATAGGTCTGGCCACTTCGACTTCATTTCTTGAATTTGGTAAGCAGAAACGTTTTCTTACTGAGTTTCAAACAATATTGGATTTGAAGCATACTTGCTAGAAATGCACCTGAATGGGGCAGCATCCTTATGACCCAGGCAGGTGAGCGGATGGCATTATTGTGCAGAAGGCAGTAGGCCTGCCTAAAGGTGTTGAAATTCAAATTTTTATGGCTCTGTGCTACACTTTCCCCAAAGTAAAACAAAGTTAAAAAGCTAATCAACCTCACCTGAGAGCCTAATTCCACTTGGGTCTTTGGATGGAGAATACTTCAGAGGATGTCCGTTGAGCTTCTAGAAGGTGGCAACCTTGCTGGGGAGGTCTGGTAGCAGCTGGCCTCGCTAGTCTTTAAAGTTTTTTAAAAAGTGTCTTTCCTCATATATTTTTAAAGCTATGCAGGTGTTTGTTGATTTTTACCCCATCTTACCTTACTTCGTTGGTGAAAATTCACCTTATTGTTCAAGTAAACTCTCCTTTGGCATTTGGCATGGCAGGATTTCTTTTTAGATGTTTTATTTATTTTTAGAGAGAGGGGAAGGGTAGGAGGAAGAGAGGGAGAAAAACAGTGTGTGGTTGTCTCTTGTGACCCCCCACTAGGGGCCTGGCCTGCAACCCAGGCATGTGCCCTGGCTGGGACTTGAGCTGGCCATCCCTTGGTTCACAGGCTGGCACTCAATCCACTGAGCCACACCAGCCAGGGCTGGCATGACAGGATTTAAAAATATTTTTTTCAACCTCCAAAACCTTTTTAATAACAAAGTAGGATCTGGGGTTAGTTTTTGTAGGCCTGTCTGGCCCGTTGGCCTCTTGTGTGCTGGAACTTCCAGCCTGTGGAGCGCAGGCAGGTAGGGTCTGGTGTGGCTGTGAGGAGTTCCCGGGGCCTTGCTGAAGTGCTTTGCACCTCTGGGCCTTTGCGAGGACCAGAAAGCAAGCCCTTGGGGGAGTCCAGGGCCAGCTGGTGGAAGGTGAGGATCTTGTTCCCGGCTTCAGAGATGCTGCTCTAGGTGCAGGTGCTCACGAAGTGCACACTCCTTCAGTTTGGGCACCGCCCGGACATGCACTTCATCCATTATGGTCCCTACAACCACCGCAGTTTTGCCCTCTCTCCAGAAAGCTTCATCTTTGGGATTATGGGGAAAGAAAGGGACAGAGGGGGCAGGTTGGTGCGATTTAGGAACCTCTTTAGCACTACCTGGTTAAAGGAGGAGTCAGTTCGTCCAGCCAGAAACCTGTGCAGCTTGACCAACAGCCGCCGTGGGTTGAATCCAGGCTCTTGGGCTCTTTTCCATGCACCTTCGTTCTTTTTTTTTTCTTTGAACTATTCATTGTTGTGGTAGATGTCCACTCCCATGATGGCGCCTAATGCTATGCTCCATCAGGTCCGGAAAGGATTTACAAAAATTTGATTTATAGCCCCGACTGGTGTAGCTCAGTGGATTGAGCGCAGGCCTGCGAACTAGAGGATCACAGTTCAATTCCCAGTCAGGGCACATGCCTGGGTTGCAGGCCAGTTCCCAGCAGGGGACACACAAGAGGCAACCACACATTGATGTTTCTCTCCCTCTCTTCCCCTCTAAAGATAAATAAAAATAAAAAAATTTGATTTACATATATTGCATCAGAAATACATTTATTTCCATAGATTATTTTTTCTCTCTAGAGAGGACTGATCCTTTACTTTTATTCAGTTTCGAATACAATAATTTTTCCTGTGAAGGTTATAATTTGGTCAACATTTCAACTATGATTTTTTTTAAATTGTACAGGATAACGAGCAGAAAATAGCTGAATCTTACATACACCATTTTAACAAAGTTATAAAGCAGTGTCTGTGTAACCACTTCCCAGGTGGAGAAGGAAGGCATAACCTGTGTTCCAGAAGCAGCCTCAGCTTGCTCTGTCTTCCCGCCCAAACTCTCCACTCTCCCCACAGAGGAAGCTGCATCTTTATTTTTACTACAATCTTTCCTTGCTGTCTCACCCTTGAAAATCTCCCTAAACACAGAGTGTATTTTCCTCTTTTTGGACCTTATGTACAAGTACTCATGCTATCAATATCCTTATGTCTACATTCTAGGTTGATTTCCAACGTTTTCTGGTAGGATGTTCCTTCATCTCATTGACCTAAAATTTTAAATTGTTCTGAAGTCACCATCTTTCCATGAACGTCTCCCCTGGATCCACTTTTGAGGTGTGCACGACATTTCTGGTGTAACCAGCTGTCCAGCACTCTGCCACAACAGGGGCACGCTTCGCTTCATCTTCGCACCCCCGCAGGGGCGATGGGCCTTGCCGAGAGTGATGACCAATGAGGATTTTTTTGGGGAAGTACATGGACATGGCCCAATGCATGGCATTCTGGGCCTATTATTTATTTCTGTGCATGTTATAAATAGCTATATCAAGATTGATAGATTGAAGGAAAGATGAGGAATTGGTTAACTAGGAATCTACTTACACAGAATTCACTTTCTAAAAGCTAGCAAAAAAAAAAGTTTAATCAGCAATCCAAACAATACATGAGAAGGAATCATGAAAATTAACCTGATAATGACTTTGGACAATTTGTACTCTCTGGTATGTCTATAGTTTAAACGAGTTAACTAGAAGCAGGGCATTTTCTTTAAACCACTCCACTGGGCAACAGTTAATTCATTATGGACGGTAACACCGACATTCTTCAGGTTGGTGGTTTTGCTTTAGACAGTCCATTCTAAACATTTCATGGAGTCGAAAACAAGACACCCCCCCAATAAAATCCCCCAAACTTCAAACGGTTAACAAAATACCAACCAGGTTACAAGGATATAGTAAAGACTATTTCGAGCAAAGCACCTAAAATATGCTTCTGTTCCGAAAACCCAACCCTTTAAATCTTGTGGGGGGCGTGTGTGCGTATGTATTTTCCCAATGTGTCGCCTCTGCTAGTTCCCAGGGTAGTTAATGTAACCACCTGCTAAGCTTTTAACTATTT